CACGTAAACCAACTCTTCACTTGCCGCCCTGGGATTGGGAGCCTCTCTTCACTGTACTCTACTGGGACCGATTCTTCCACCTTAACCCTGACTTCCCATTTTTCTTCTTCTTCTTTTAGAGCTGAGGGAGCGACTTCCCATTCAAGCAAGTGGACTGGAGGATGCACGGAAAGGAGGATGAAAGATATGCTGGTCTTGGGCAATGCTGGCCTCTGGCATGCATCCCCAATATTGCCACAAGCGTCATACAGCATACAGGAAAATACTATTGTGATATTGATTTTAAACTCAACTCTATTTTGTCATATTGATTTGAAGGAATGAAAATTGTATCGCTTTTTCCCATTAATTTTCTGCGGATAAACATGATACAATGTATGTTGATTGTGTCAACTTCTAGTTAAATTTTATTTCTTAGCAACACTGACTAATTTGAATCTACGGTCACCTCTGCCTTCCATTTGGCGTTACAAAGTGTTAATCGAGTGCAAAAAGTAATTATATTTTCATCGAAATGACTTGATTTTATTTTCAGTATCTATAAGCTGAATCAGAGATCTTATAACTCGTCTCGGAAAGTTAAAGTGTTACAAGCATGCATACTTCTCATTGATATATGATCACCTACTTTGTTTTATCATGAAATTATATCGTATCTGTGATTTGGTAAGATCTATCATGTCGTCAAGTTTTCCACACATATAAAACTTTGTGTTATCTAAGTAGTTGCTAGTTATTGTTGTTGTTGCCTGCGCCGACGGTCATCTGCAAACAGAGGCAGCTCCGCTGGTTGGTGAACTTGGTGAGGAGAGGCCATCGTATATGAGTAGGAAGATGGGCAGAGGCAGGGTGAGTGGTCAGGAAAGATGCCGCCTCAATGGTTCTGCCCTACTGTGAGGACAGACGTTTAGAGGCTAGGGGCAGAGTGGCCCAGTGGTTAAAGTTCAGAGTACCAAGATTGGCGCAGAGAGGCGCGGGTTCGATCCCAGCTCTGTGCGCCAGTTTCTGGTCAGAATCGGCGAGGAGGCCGGGCGGTTAAGCACAGCAGAATTGTAGCAGTGAGTTGCGAGTTCGAGACCGCAGCAAGCTGTGAATGTTCTGTGATGTTAAGAATCAGCGACAGGCCTACGGCCTAATAAACGCTGAAACCGCTATTATTATTTACATTATTATAGAGTCATAGGAAGGGAGAAGCTAATAAAAAAATGCTGAAAAAACTATAAGCTCACCAGGTCAAATGGGCAGACAAGGGAAGGAAGCCTTCCTCACTGCGTAAATGGTCGATAAGAGCCATTTTGAGACAACCAGTGGCTAAAATGAAAACTGTCTCTGGATAGTTTTATGGACGATCACTGCGATGCGCAAGACGCTGAGGTACCAAATATGGTCTGCGTAATTGATTATTAAACCCTTTAATGTCCACTAGGCGGCAATTTAATCCTCCTTCGAAAAGAACCAGTTGATGCCAGCCAGGGCTTTTAGGATGCGTAAGATTTCGTCGCCTCTCTGGCCACGGCCCGCAACACTCAGTTTGAAGCCCTGCTGCAAGGAGTAGGAGATGGTGGAGAGGCCTCTGTGGCCATGGCCCGCAGGACGTCCCGGTTTGAAGCCATGCTGCAAGGAGATGGTGGAGAGGCCTCTGTGGCCACGGCCCACAGGACGTCCCGGTTTGAAGCCATGCTGCAAGGAGATGGTGGAGAGGCTTCTGTGGCCACGGCCCGCAGGACGTCCCGGTTTGAAGCCAGGCTGCAAGGAGATGGTGGAGAGGCCTCTGTTGCCACGGCCCGCAGGACGTCCCGGTTTGAAGCCAGGCTACAAGGAGATGGTGGAGAGGCCTCTGTGGCCACGGCCCGCAGGACGTCGCAGTTTGAAGCCATGCTGCAAGGAGATGGTGGAGAGGTAGGCCGAAAGGTGCATGAGTAGGAGCTGCTCGAGAATTTAACTGCTGGCCTGCGTACATGTGCGTCTGGTACATGTGCGTCTCGTGCATGTGCATCTCGTACATGTGCGTCTCGTACATGACCGTATCGTACATATGCGTCTCGTACATGCCCGTCTCGTACATGTGCGTCTCCTTAGTATCCTTATCCTTAGTATCCTTAGTATTTGTTTGGGACATAGCAGTCCCAGGCCACGATGGATCGCCGCCTCTGATTATCGTTCATCCGCCCTCATTTGGGCCACCTGATGCACGATGCTGTTGCTTGCTTCTCGCCGCTGGTAGTGT